ACTATGCAAAGGTATTTGACTGTGTGGATCATAACAAACTGTGGCTGACTCTGAGAAGAATGGGAATCCCAGAACACTTGATCGTTCTAATGCGAAACCTATACTTGGACCAGGAGGCAGTCATCAGAAAAGAGCAAGGGAACAGTGGTTCAAAATTGGGAAGGGCGTACACCAGGGATGCATGCTATCCCCATACCTTTTCAACCTGTATGCAGACCAGATTATCTGGGAGGCTGGGCTCTATGAGGAGAAGTGTGGTATCAGGATTGGTGGAAGATTTATCAACAATCTGAGTTACGCAGATGACACAACCCTGCTTGCTGAAACTGAGGAGGACCTGAAGCACTTGCTGCAGATGGTCAAGGACTGCAGCCTTCTGGATGGATTGAGGCTCAATATGAAGGAGACAAAGATTCTCACCACTGGGCCAGTTGGCAGCATCAGGATGGATGGTGAAGAGATTGAGATTATTCACAGCTTTAGTTTGCTTGGCTCCATAGTCAACACTCTTGGCACCAGCAGCCAGGAAATTAAAAGACATACTGCGATGGGAAAGTCTGCTGTTAGGAATCTCTCCAAAGTACTGAAGAGCAATGGTGTCAGTCTGGAGACTAAGGTGTGTCTGATACAGGCTATGTTCTTTGCAATCACTTGTTATGCATCAGAGAGTTGGACAATGACTCGGAAGAATAGAAGGAGAATTGATGCCTTTGAGCTGTGGTGCTGGAGAAGAGTATTAAGTGTACCATGGACTGCTAATAAAACAGATTCATCTTGGAGAGGATTAAACCAGGCTGCCCCTTGAAGGCATGGATTCTGAGGCTTCATCTGACATACTTTGGACATGTTGTAAGGAGGGACGAGTCCTTAGAGAGGGACATCATGCTTGGGAGGGTGGAGAGACAGTGTAGGAGGGGAAGACCTTCTATGAGGTGGACTGATTTAGTGACTCGGGTAATCAGGATGGGTGTGTCAGAGGTAGTGTGATTGGCACAAGAAAGAGCAGAGTTTAGGGCTGTTGAACATAAGGTCGCTATGAGTTGCAAGTGACTCAACGGCACAGAACACCACCACCACCACCACCACCACCACCACCACCACCACCAACAACAACAACAACAACATACGTGTGATGTGAAGTAGGTGGTGGTGGATGCTGGATGCCATCAAGTTGAATATGACTCATGGCCACCCTATGAATAACATATTTGAACCCTGTTATATCTTGTACCATCCTCACTATCTCTGACACATTCAAGCCCACTGCTGCAGTCACTGCATCAAAACATCTTTGGGGTCTTCCTCTTTTTTCACTACCTCTCTACCTTTCCAAGCATGATATCCCTTTCCCAAGGAATAGCCTCTCCTAGCAACATGCCCAAAGTGTGTGAGATGAAGTTTCACCATGCTTGCCTCCAAGGACCACTCTGGCTGTACTTTTTCCAAGATATATTTGTTTGTTCTTTTTGTAGTCCATGGGATGTTAAGTATTCTTTTCCAATACACACCTGAAAGGCATCAATTCTTCTTCTGTCATCATTATTTCTGTCCTGCCCTCAGATGAATAGCTAGTGATGAAAAAGAATTATGATCTGAATGAGGCAAACTTTAGTCTTTAAACTGACATCCCTGCTCCTCAGCACTTTGGAAATGTCCCTGACAGCTGACTTTCCCATTGCAACACGTCTTTTGATGTTTTGACTGCAAGTGTCAAGTAGGTATTGACTGTAGATCTCAGAAAGACGAAATCATTGACAGTTTCAATCTTTTCACCACCTATCATAATGTTGCTTATTGTCCTAGTGGTAAGGATTTTTGTCTTCTTGCTGTTGAGATGTAATCCATATTGAAGGGTGTAGGCTTTGATACTTTGTAGCAAGTGTTTCAAGTCCTCTTCACTTTCAACAAGCAAGGCTGTATTACCTGCATAATGCAGGTTGTTGATGGATCCCATTAATCTTCAACTTTCTTGGGCTTATTGTGTATTCTTCCTCCCCCCCTCAGTTTTTGAAATGGATCCTTATTTAATATATTTTCAGTCTTTCTTTTCCCCCCAATATATACACTAGGAGCTACTAATACCTTTCTAGCTGCAGCCCAAGCTTTTAAAAGTTTTCATAACTGTTAAACTTAGTATATTTTATAATATTTATTAT